CTCACAATTCTGAAGGCATACCTGCTATGTTCTCCTCCCATGGCTATGTTTCTGTGATTTTTTCTTGATTCATGTCTTGGGTAAGAAAACTGATGTTAATTTTCAACAACAAAATTAAAAAAAAAAATCAGGGCTGATGGAGTGACTCAAGTGGCAGAGCACCTGCCTAGCAAGTGTGAAACCCTGAGTTCAAACCCCAGTACTACCAATAAAAAAAAAAACCTGAAAGTACACAGAATTTTAAAAAATCAGTTACTGAAATATTTTATTGATATTACTTAATATGCCCTAGGAACAAGCACTGAGTATTTTTTTTCAGTCAGTTGGGTTGTCATTGAGCAGCTTATAACTCAGAGAAATCATTTCATTTATAATGTGGGTGCCTCTAAGAAGTAACTAGATTGGGAGGCAGAGGCACGATGGTTGCAAGTTCAAGCCAGCTCAGGCAAAGTTAGCAAGAGTGTATCTCAAAAACCAAACCAAACAAAAGTGCTTGGGGTATAGTTCAAGTGGTAGTGCACTTGCCTAGCAAGTTTGTTGTCCTAAGTTTTACCCCTAGTATTGAGAAGGAGGAGAAGGAGAAGAAGAAAGTAGATAGTGATGATTGAGGATGTGAACAGCAATCTGTGTAAATCAGCTTCTACTCAAGCTGGACCATAGAACTATCTTGTGAACGTGAAGGTAATATTTTCAACTGAATGTTATATTTAATATGTAATAGCAGCTTTAAAGTTAACCTAGTATCTAATAGACATAGAGGAGTTGCTACACATTGAACACTGTTCTACATGTTTTTTTATATTATTTCATTTAACCCTCTCAACAGCTCTGTGAGGTGGGTGCAATGTTCATCTCCACTTGACAGATGAGATGAGACAGTGGCAGAGAGAAGTTCATGACATATTCCAAGACTTTAATTCTTTCTTCATGTTTATGAATAGAAATAGTGTTGCTTGGTACTATCTGTATGAGCATAGACATAACTATTTGAGTGGTATGTGGATAATTGGCTTTTTATTCTCTTCTTCTGGTTTATTCATTGCATGTAATGGTGTAGGTCTTCAAATATCTATGTGAACATTATATTTAAGAACTAAAGACAAACACGATTCTACAACTCATAACCCTGTAGAGTGTTGGCAAAGGCTTTTAAGCTTTGGGGGGCCTTAATTTCCACATGTGTACCTTGCCTACATACATTTTTACAAGTATTAGGTGGCTTACATTAACATATTCCACAAGGGCAACACATAAAGTGGTCAGATATTACTAATCTACACATCCTGAGTCTTCAAGGATGTTATCAATTCTTGGTATTACTGTGTTTAGCAAACAAGATAAAAATATGGGCTGTGGATGTAGCTCAGTGATACAGTACTTGCTAAGCATGCACAAGGCCCTGGGTTCTATTCCTAGCATTGAAAAAATAGAAGGAAAAGAAAAGAGAGAAAAAAAATTTTTTAAAAAGAGCATAGTGTCTTATTTATGAAAACATGTAAATTTAGGGAAAGTATGAAGTTAGCACATCTATTTTCTTCAGAATTATTATTAAAGTTTTGGAGAATACTATTATCTTTTCTAAAAACTTGTTTTATCAAAAACATTACATTATTCAGTGATTACTAAATACTTCTTTATATTTAATCATGAATAGCTCCCAATTTTATTGATAAATGCATAAAACATTGATCTCAAAGGCTGCACGGGGCTCTGTCTCTTGCAGTGTGTGAATCAGCTATCTCATTCCCTGTTGGTCTCTATTTCACCTGAGGCTGGAAAGGCAGCTGGAGAGCATTCTTCTGTGATTTCACCTGTGGACACCTCATTAGAGCCTAGGTAGTGCTCTTTGAGGCTCTTTGACTACTAGATAAGGCAACTTTGGAACTTTCTCACAAACATTGTCAAAGATAGGGATATTTTAAAGTAATGTTTAGTTTTTATTTGTTGTAATAATCCTATACAAATAATATGTTAATATTATTATTACCTAGTGTCTACTGAGAAAGTGCTAACTTGTACTGTGTCATTTTCAATTTGTCCAAATTCAAGAGGTATGTGATCTCCCTCTGACAGAAGAGAACAGTGGAGTAAAGCTGACCTGCCCTAAGTCATAAAGCTGGTACCTAAGTAACAGATGTTCACTAAGCAGATCCAAGTAACTGTGTCCCAAAATGACAACAGTAAAAAACATCATTATTTACATTCAAGCATTTTCTCCACATATTTATAGAGAAATAGATTTATATCACTGCACTTTTTTTATTTTAAATGGACTTACATATGCAGCTTCACATTCTGTTCTTTTAGTTAACTTTACACTTGAAAGTATATTACTTAATAAGATTATGTTAATATCTTAAATCATGACCTATGACAATAAGCACTTGTGCTGGTTCCTAATCCATCTGATTTCAGCTGAGTTGTAACATATTTTTGTGCCTCAGTTTTTACATCTATAGTTACATAAATATCTTTCAGAGACTTAAAAAGAATGATAATGAACATGAAATGTAGATAATACTAGCTGGCATATACCTACCCTTACTCATGTTTTCAAGTTGTATTCCATTATCATTTTAAAACAAAAGAAAATTACTTTGTTATATAATATTTTAAGTAAAATTTTTTTGCTTTTAAAAATTTATATATAGATAGATATAATCAATAAAAATTTAAGAAGAAAATTGCTCTATAAGGAAAAACGTCTACCCTAATACTGCAATATTTCTTTTCCTCTTGTTTCCTCTAACAATTTAGACTTTTGCATCTTTCCGAATTAATACATACCTATTCATACTTCATGTGTTTTTGATATTTTTATTAGGATAAATTTGTTGTATGGGGGGGATTCATTGTGACAATTCCAAATAGGCTCAAATTGTACATGGGTTAGATCACCCCCACCATCTCTCCTCCTTAACCCCCTCCCCCACCCCACTTAAAGCAGTTGCAAGAGGTTTCTTTGTTCTATTTTGTACGTGTATATGAAGTCCACCCACCATATTCCCTCACCTCCATTTCCTTCGTTCACCTTATCTGCTCCCAGAAGTACCCCCCACCTTGTACCTATTTTACAGTTCTGTCTTTCAGTATTAATTTCTAAGTTATTTTCACTTTCATTAATAATGCCTCAAAAATGTCATTTTTAAGACTTCATATATACTACCATTTGAATGCAACACAAAGTATTTGCCCATTTGCTTTGGTTCATCATTGGCACTGTCATCATATTTTCTAGGGATCACATTAAGAAGGTTACATAACATTTTCTCCTTAAGTTTGTCCTCAGTCAACATTGCATCACTAAGAAGCACTGATAAAACCCATGCAAAGAATTTAGCAAAGATACTTCGAGAAGACAAATCCATATTTTCCCATACATTCCTCATGGAAAAGGCTCATCTTCTCCTATTTGATGTGTTGCCCTCAGTTGATGTTTTCTAAATTTGTATGTATAAAATGTAGGAATTAAAGAAGGTTACATAAATATAACCCACAAAAGCAATGCTACCCATTGAAAATGGTTATTGTCAGAAGTAGTATAGATGAGGATGAGAATTAAAGAAAGATGGAGTAACAAAATTAGAAGCAGGTGGAATATGTGTCAAATTCCAACTTCTGTGTCTGCTTAGCTTGCAAATTTGTTTTTATTTTCACTCAAATATTTCTCACAATTAAAAAATAGGCCATGGATCCCTGAAATAGGGTACAGAAAAAATGAATATTTTGATGCTATCTGAGGGATACTTAAGTAAGGTGTACAGGAATATGTACAGGAAACATATAAAGAGATATGTATGTTCTTCCTAGAAGACCATTGCAAACATTATTATTAAAAATAGACCACAAGGATTTTGTATTGTTTTATATTGAGATGTCAAATGGAAATTTATTGACATTTCACTTATTTTGTAAAGACACATAATCTCTCAAATTCTGGGCACATGCTTCAACATTTAGTTACAAATTGTGTCAGTTAATGTTCGGTGATGTTTCCATGTCTCCTCTGTGGAAGGGGAACAATGTGCTGATTCTCTGTTCCCTCTGAGATGAAGAAACAGTTTAGTGTAGTAGACAAGAGGGGTCCCTCCCCGATCTACCACGTAACAGCTGTGTGTCTTAGACAAGTACCTGGAACTCTTAGTGCCTCTCGCCTACCTCCGAGTAAGATATGCTGGACTAGAAACACAGAGCCTATGGGTAGTGTGGGCTAAAGGAACAGATATATGCAAAAAATAGAGGACATGAATGGAGAATTTGCACACACATGATGCTCTCTCTTGTTAGACAGGAACAGAAGTTGTTATCTCAGTGTCGTGGACTCATCTAATAGCCTCAGTGACTCCAGTTCTTTTCTGATGACATTATCCTGGAAGAATCTTCTTCCTGACACTTCACAGAAAACCAGAAGTTGCTCTATCCCTAATGTAGCCCACATAACCTAACACTCACTTAAGGAATTGCAATCCTTAGACTTCTCGGTGTGACCTTGCAGTCCAGTTTGAAAAACAGAGCCTTGTCTTTGGTGTCTTTGGTGCTTCATTAGGCTTCAATTCTCTGATCGTAAATTCTTCAGTTGAACAATGGACCATTTGCAGAGGGGCTGTCTTGATGACATGTGAAAACAAGGACACACTGTGGTTGCTGCTCTCAACCTACACCCTACCACCGATAGAAAGTCTGGATGCTGATATTCATTACATCTGATACAATGATGTAATGATGTAATGAATATCAGCACAGCCTGTGTTCTCTCAGTCCACACTCAGGACTTGAAATTGTTAGGAAATAGGGTCAAATGAAGATTTGGAGAACACCATAACCAGGTCACTGAGAACTCATGTGCAATCCCAATCCATGAGAGATTCCCGGAAAGTCCAGGATTGAGGCACGGAGGCTGCCTGAGGCTGGGAGCCCAGCTGGGAACTGTCTGTGGTTGCCTCTGTTAAAAAGGATGTGGTGGGCACAAAAGCAAGGAGTGGAATCTTGTGTGGGTTGTCTCAACAAGTCAAATACTGTGGGTCCCACCCAGCACAGTAGTAAATGGCTTCATCTTCTTTTTCTATAAAATTTATGATTAGAGTTGAAGAGAAACTTTGAGGATCTTTTATTGCTTCAACTTTGCTGCTCCCCCCAACCACAGAACCTCGAACTGAGGATTTTGCTGGGGATTTTGTTGAAGCAACGTGAACCAGATGCTCCAAAGCCTGATTTTGTTTTTGCCAGTACCAGTGAATGACTTCATTTTCAAAATTTGTGCTCCATATCTTGCAATGTATATAAACACTTTTTTTTACTTCTGAGAAAACAGATATCTGAGACTGCTCCACTTTTGACAATCCAAGTCCAACTGTAAGGAAAAGAGAATTGTTAATGAACTTCTAAGTATAGAGCAAGGAAACATGGAAGAATTACTCTGGTTCCACCTCAAGACTGAAATGGGCAGAGAGTGACTTACGAGTCCAGAAGGAGAAGAAAGTGACTGCTTGCAACAGTGACATCCTGGATGCCAGCTAGTATCCTCAAGTAGAAGACAGGAAAGTGAGGACCTGGTAGCTGGACCCCTCAGGTCAGTGTCAAGAGGGTGTGGCCTGAATTAGAGAGAGGGAAGGAAGTGGTGGGTTGAATGTTTCTTGGGCCCCTCAGAGTTGGCTACAGACTCAACACAATGTGCCCTGTAGAGCTCAAGGTAGGGTTGTGAGTACCAGAAGGCTCTTTCATATATGTGATCTTCCTGAACCTGGGAAAATTTGATCATCTCTGCCACAAATTCTTCATCTGAGTGGATACAATTATTAGACTTTATAAAAATGATTGGTGCAGGCCAATAATACACCTTCTATCGCTCCTGTCATATTGTAAACTTGCAACAATTATTAACGATTATTGCTGCTATATGTTTAAAGTTTAATTGTTACAATGCTTTGGTGGCTTCTTTGAAGTAGTGACTTGGATAGGTCAAGGAAAACTAGTCAAGTGCTTTTAGCTCTCCATTTTCCTATGTTAGGAACTGACTTTTCCTCTATTCTTTCTTCAGCTAAGCTTTTTCACTTCCATGTTATGATTTCCATGTAGCTTTCTCTGAAACCTGGGCATACCAGAGCTCCTTTAACCCTTATCATCCCTGACCTTGTGTCTGGTCTGTAATAACCATATAGGGCTGGTGTAAACTCAGACTGGTATGGGTCCTCCAGAGAAGAATGGAGAGGAAATGACTGGCTCAAATGGCTGGATTTCCCTTCTAAGTTTGCTTTCCTGATTTCCCCCTTGTCTGTAAATATATTTTCTGAGGTCCCCAACAGTGGTAAAGGAACTGTTAAGGAGGTAGATTGCAGTAGACCAGAAGGTTCTTGGGCTCTGACTGAAAAGATTCTCTCTAACCTTGCACAAATTAAGTCCTAGTATGGGAAGAAGGAGGAAATGATGTGTGGATGCTGCCGCCAGTCAGTCTGTGGGTGTCAGCTCAGGATCTTGGGTACTGCTGTCAGTAGGGTGGTCATGGCCACCTGAGCCTCACAAGGTCCCCTTGTCATCATGGCTGCCAGACAGCTCCTCCCACACCATGCATTTAGGAGCATGTGTGTGCTGTGTGTGTGAGGAACAAGAGGAGTCTGTTGTAGGAAGTGGGTCTAATTGATGGAGCCCTCTGTACCTGACTACCTAAAATAAAGACTAAAGATATATTACATTTTTCTTTCCTATTGAGGGGAATGAATTCATTCTTTCACCAAGAATCATGAAGTGGAAATTCTATAAATTCAGGACAGGTTTACTAAGAGGCAAAAGAAAGACCAACAGCCATTTCAGACACATACTTTTATTTTTTTATGAATTATTTCAAATAAAGACATTTATTTTTACTTATTATTACAAATACTGTAAGTGTAGGTATTTTAATTGTATGCTATTTGTTTCTCTTAACATTAATAGCTTGCATTCATTTTGAACATTCTCTGTGAATGGTACCTGCTACAATCACTTTTATCCATTTCGTATTGAGAAGGTACTCTTACTGTTGTTCCATATTTCAGATGGAAAAACAGAGGATTTGACAGAGCAAGGTCTTTTGTTCCAGATCAGCCAGGAGCAAGAAGAATGGTAACTTGCATCCTAGGGTCTGACTCTGTAGAACAATTTTTTTTGGTAGGACTGAGGTTTGAACTCAGGGCTTTGCACTTACAAAGCAGGCGCTCTACCACTTGAGCCATACCTCCAGTCCAGGGTCTGACTCTGGAAAGGGTTCTAGTGGGAGGGGAAGGGTAAATGAAGAGGATAACAGAGGGTGAATATGGTTAATGTATTTTCTACACATGTATGAATAAGGAATATTGAAACTTGTCCAAGTCATTTTAAGAAGGAGGAAGGGGAAGAGGGAGAATAATGGAGGGGATGAACCAAACCAAATATATCGAAGTGTCACAAAGAAAACCCCTTTGCAACTATTATATACTAATAAAAAACAAAAAGACAATCAACAACAACCTGTTAGATGCTTAGGCTAAAAACCAAAAGGCTGGATCTCTAAGAAAAAAGTAAAATTTCAGAAACAAATTTTTCCATTCCTGTATGTAAATGGTGCCCAAAATGCAAGGGGAACATTACCGTAATCCTTCCCAGCCAAAAAGTGGCATGTAATGTCTTCCTCAATGATCCTTCCAAAGATTCATTTCTTGCAGTAAATGTTCATCAAAGATCCACTCCAGGCATCATTCAGGTCAGGGAATGGCGCAGACACCATCAGAGGTCTCAACTTATGTGATACTTTTATTCTAGCAGAACTTGAAATCTTCTTCATTCGTTTGGTACAATACTTGGACCTCAAAGTCACATTCTCAATGACCAAGGGTGCCCACCCTTCATTGCAATTCAGCCTGTGTCAGCCACATTCCTGGACATGTCAGGACAAAGGAATGATGACGCCTAGTTCACTCATACTATTTCCACAATTCTTTGGTAGAAACTCTGATTACAAGGAAATCAGCACAAACGAGATTTAGAACACAAAACTCCAAATAGTATGTGATGTGAGTCCTTATAGTCATCATCCTACTACACTATGAGTCCTAAGCAACTTCCAGCACCTTGGCTCTCTGTTGTCTGCGATTTGGCTTCTTCCTCTGAATTGCTAGTACAAAACCAGACCTCAGTTTACCATTATTTACCTCACTTCATGCCATTGGGATTCAAAATCCCAGCCTGTGCTGTGTCCCACTGATACTTCTGTACCTGCTCAGAGACACTGAGATGTGTTTGGATTTCCCATTTGCATGCAGCTTATGTAGAAAGGCAATGCTGGTTTGGACTCAACTTTTCAAACACTTTCCAGTGTGGATGAAGCTCTACCCTGGCCATTTGGGGGAACTGGACATCAACTGATGTCTGAGTCTCCCTGTCTAGTTGGTGTTCTATTGGAGTTTCTTTCTGCTCTGGATTAAGGCAGTCATGGGTAAGGGAACTGGGAAGGAGCTTCACTTAATTCTCTTCATCTCTAACTTTCCCCATCATCTTACAATGCTGCCCAACTAGAAGTGCTACCCTCTGTCTGAGTGGATGCTGACTTCACTGACACCATATACCAACTCTTCTGTATCTGTGATCTGAGTTTGCTAGCTTTGTTTGTTTGTTTTTTTTTTCCCACCTCCCATGAATGGGAGATTTAGACTTTAGAAAACCCTTTTTGGTTTAAACTTAACCAAAGTTAAGTTTTTGAGTTTTAAATCCACTTTCTCAACATTAATTAAAATAATAAATTTTTCTGGGTACATGTAGCTTCTTCTTTGCAGGTCTTAAATCTTATGGGTTAGTCTTAATAGAGGAAGGGGTAGAGGTGACATGACTTACTTATGTGGGGGAATAAAAGTATGCTGATGACATATTTGCCAAACAATCGCCATTACACATTTTGAACATTTACTTATGATCAGACTGCAAGGTTTTGACCCCGCTCTATGGATTCCCCCCATAAAACTTCTAGCTATAGAACTTCGTAAGAACAGAGAGGTTTTCTTAGCTCTTTCCCCTCCAGTAAGGTCCTGTGGCAGAATATCCAGAAAAGGCCCACTTCTAGATGTGAGATCAAGGTGACCCTTGGCCCTGGCTTCTTGAGTGTTGGCATTCAGTCCTGACTAGGTTCTGCTGGGCTAGACAGTATTTCTGGGGGAAGCCCACTTTTGCCCTTAAATGCTATAGTATATTCTTAGGAAGTTAATAAACACTAAGGTTATTCAAAGTAGCTGGAGTACAACCGAAATGTCATGAACTATTTATTTAAACAGTGTACTGACCCTCTGTAAGCATCAGTTCTTTTTTCTCCTAACAAGTTTATCTGCAGAATTTTTATGATGCTCAATGTAGGTTCTGAGGAGAAAGAATATTTATTACATTATGTGGCAATGAGGGAAGTTGAAGTTATGTGAATTCCATCACGTACCTTCTCATTGCCTTTCCCATGAGATTTCATCATTACTAGGAATTGCTGGAAAGGAAATAATGAAACTTGTTTTCTCTCGGAGGTAGTCAGACAGTTTCCACATGCTTAGTGTCTAACTAAGTCAACCAGAAACGATTTCGAGCAGACATTTGGGCATAATTATTAACACCTGTGGGGGGCAGTGGATAGCCATCAGACTCCTTTTCTGGCTTATTCTGATACAGATGTCAACCTGAGGAACACAGGAAGTGCTGCAAACTAGGACTGAGACCTAGCAGGGCTCAGAGATAGATTAGCTCCCCACTGGGAAGGAAGTGGTTACAGACCTGCTGAGTGATGTAGGTACTCATTATCTTTGCCCTAATGACATGGTAGATTTCTAGGGGCAAATTGGCTTATCATTCTTCTTTTTCTGTGAATTTTACTTTAAGGACCAAAAGAAAGACAGAATTTTATATAACTTGTGATTGGAGCTCTTTGCCTGTAACTAACCTTGAATAAGTCTTTTTATTTTCTCCAAAGTAAATATCAGATTTTCAGAAACCTGATTTGAAGTTTGTTGGTACCTAAATGTTTAAGAAAAGTTATATCTGGATACTGTAAGTGAAAAACATGCCTTCCTTTCTGCTACTGAAATATTTTCATTTACTACACTAGATGGCAGTAGTGCTGCCACCTGCTATGACAGTCAACAATGTCTTCACATACTGCCAATGTCCCCTGGAGCAGGGAATGTCTCCAGCTGAGAACCACTGGCTTAGTAGCTTTTTTAAGAAGCAGGTAAGACTTAGTATTGTTGTCTTGAGTTTGGGTCTCAGCCATGATAGGAGCAAAATGAAACTCTCACTAAACATCCAGCATGTAAAAATCTTACTCATTAACTAAAGTATCACTTAATCTTGTGGCCATTACTCTTCTTGAGAAATGGGAGTAAACATAACAATAACTCCATCATTCAGTATATAACACTGCTCCTTGTTCATCTGTTGTTACCTGTTACTTCAATTTACATATGCTAAATTCCTTTGCACTACATGACACTATATGTTTTAGTAGTGGTCAAATCCTTTTAGTGATTACATAGAATGACTTCCATATAGTAG